CGCTCGAACCGGTACCCGGTCCTCTCTCGATCGCAGCTGGGACGGTCATCGTGGAGGTTTTAGTCGGTTGGTGTCCGGCACTACCAGGCCGCTTTCCCCAGAAGGGTTAAAAAAAAAGATGATGTATTGGATGAAGTTGTGGTCAGTGAGTCAGTCTCCTTTGTAGCGTCTGTCCGTCGCCGTCATTCTTTGATCTGTCGTTGAGGATTCGATGATGGACTAGGACATGATTGTGTTGGTTGTATATCTGTGCAGGATGGTTGATCGGTAGTTTAAATGACGAGATTACTCGTTAAGGAAACCGTCAAATATATTTTACAATAATTATAAATACAGGGTCAACTTTTTGCTCGCTACGGGTCGTTAAAACAATGTTCGCTAAGATGCGCGGTACTAACTGATTCGCTAAAGACTGTGTGTTGATCGCTAATAAAAATTGCTCGAGACTGAAACTAAAAAACTAGTCACCTTACGATCGTGTTCGTTTATTTATACAGGTCGAGGGGGTACCGGTAAATTTCCATTCTCCTTCGTTAGACGGTTACTCGTAGCGGCGACATTGTTTTACCCGGAGTTGCTTTATTATTACATTCTTAACGATATCTTATCTTAAAGTTATCTTAACGATATTAGTACTCCGAGGCAAAGCAACAGCCTGGCTCGAATTGTCCTGTAGCTCACGTGCCGCCACATCGCCCCCTGACAGTGATAACGTTTTTTTTTATTTATTACGCAGTTTTACACAGGTTTACACAGTTTTTCTTAACCGAAACCCGTTTGAAACCGATCAGGGAATCTGATCCTTCTGCCCAAACGCGTGACGTATTTATTTGTCGTATTTTTATTATTTGCGCTTTCTTATCTTTCGCTTTGTTCGGTTTGAACATCCAGCAGTATTATTATTATGTAGCGATTTTCACGTTACTCTGGTGCTCAGTATAGTCATCTAATAAAAATGCGGGTTTCAGTCGATCTATGGAAACTACTACATTACTGTGGCCACGGAAATTTCCAACGGCTTCGCGACACAAAGCGTAAGGCCGACAGGCCTAATGTACCATCGATATCCCTACGGTTCTTTCGTTGAATATTTGGTTGAATGCATACGCGGCAACCATCGCGGACTTCTAATCAACGCGCGAGTTGTGAGTGTTGCGACACTCAACTAACTAGCGACCAGTCAGGCACAACTGATCGGTTGGTATCGCAAGCCTTGAACGGTATTAGCGTCCAAGGTAGAGGATTATAAGAAATGTAAAGAGCAAGGTTTATGTATTTTCGACCAATCGCGGGGAGAAGCAACCGGGAGTCGTAAATTCCCATTACGATTATAATAATCGACACCACGAGTTGATCGATCCCCTGATTTCCGTTAAGATAATAGGGGTGATACAGTTAGTATAACACTGTGATTCATAGAGTTATAAGGTTTTTATTTCCAACATTTAAGTTACACTGTTGAGTAGGTATAAATCGTAGATGACAATTTGTCGCAAGAAAACAAGATAAATATGCACAACAGAGCAAGGCTCTTATAGTTGAATTTAGTATGTCAGTGGACGTAGCACTAGAGGATACTTAATAGAGGGAAGTGAATGTTCGATAATCCCGAGAACCGACTTAGATAGTTGATGTGAGTTGTACTTCTCTAGCGTTGTATGATAAGTAAAGTTGACTTTTCGTGCTTAGACTTAGACGTTAAATGTTAGATTTTGACTGACTTGTCGCTCTTATGTTAATACGAAAGAAAGTTCGGTGTGGGTGTGCCCCTTTGCACGAAGAACGCGAATTCGTTGCTCACACTTTACGTTAGGAAAGATGAGGGTAACGATCCGCGATGTCGATTGGTTATGACCCAGGCTGATGCTTGAAGGGATGAGTAGGAAGCCTCCTACCAACGTGGATCGTGGGTGACCTTGTTCATGGAAAAACCAGCTGGTTTTATTAGATAGCTATTCGGTTTTTCCTAATAGGTGCGTACCCGCTTTCTCCGTGTTTTTATGTCCGCCTAATGCGCCCAGGGACCTCTCTAAAAACCAGATGTGCGTCGAAAATACTTCTAGGCTTAAGAAATCGTACAGGACAAACAGATTGACTGAAGACACATGCCCATACGATACAATAAAGAGTGAAAAGTTATGGTGGGTCCTTAGATTTATTAAGGGTCGAAGTGACGTTACGCAGACCGTTGGCTGTCCAGTCGCGAGGGCTGGAGTGCAGATGTTTTAGGCGACATAACAGTTTAGTTCACCTTACTTATTCCACTCAATACTCTGAATACAACTGTCTTTTAGATCACTGGCTATTCTATTAAATATAATTTACACAGACTGAATATTGTTACATGCTGATTCTTAGAACACTGGTGCAAGAGACTTGGTGGTGTTGCTGTCGTAGAGGAAAGTTCGTGGTAGGTGTGTCTCAAGTCTGTTCCTAACTGATCATTTGGTAAAGACGTATGTTTAAGGATGTGCTGGCCGCCCTAATGAAGGTTCGCGCGCGGGTGACCTTGCACTTGGGGAAACCCGCGTTTCCGGTCTTCCTGAGATGTACCATAAAATAAAGGCATTATATATCGAATGGGTTTTTCCCGTGGGGGGTCCTAAAGTACCTTGACTGTACAATAGGCCCACTATTTATGATGGGTCCGCACTAGGGTAGCGTAAATCCTTGACGGTGCGAAAGGTTTAGCGAAGCAAACACAATTAGAGAAACGAGTCGTCTACTCTTGAGAATTCAGTTTTAATCGTTACTTGTCATTAATCGTTGGCAAACGCTAACCGTTGTTAATCGTTAATCGTTGTTAATCGTTAATCGTGGTTAATCGTTATTTGTTGTTAATAGTTAAGAGTTTAATAAACGTTATTGTTGAAAATCAAGAGTATTTCTTGTGGACACATTCACCGACGATCACCTCATTTCTATCATTTATTCTGATGGTATAGTTCTTTTCTCCACGCTGTATTACCTGGTACGGCCCGTTATAGAGTGGTTGTAAAAGGCCTCCGATCGCATCATGGCGTCAAAACAAGTAGGGCCAAGTTTATAGATCATGGAAAACGAAGGTTTCCTTCGCGTCGTGTCACGATAACCGATTGAGGCCTGATTTTTCCTATACGCTCTTTCAACCGGTTCGCATATTCCGAGTTGGCCTGTTGATTCGCTGGTAAGAAGAATTCTGCCGGAAATCTCAGGCTCAGTTCGAGAGCATAGTCGTGGCCCCTACCTTTGTTGTAATTTGCCCCTGCAAATTACAGATACCTTGGCAATTATTGTTGTTGTTGACGATTATACTCTGGCTCCTGACTGGCGACAAGCCACTTTGAATCATGTATTCCTTAATGGGCTTGCTCGTAGGATTGTCCAAATACGGCTTCAACAGGAAGGCGTCTTTTTTCAAGGTTGGACGCGGTGGCGGAGGCGCGGTGGGCGTTGGTGGTGTTGGCACGGTGCTCGATACGGTCTCCGTCCTCGACGGAGAGGCAACGACCAAACAGAGCGGCGTTTCCTCAGGATGTACTTCATGGCAGGAGTTCGTCCTGATCGGGTCTTCAGCTTCCGGGCAATGGTTTTTGACGATGGCAGAGTTTCGTAACAGCAGAAAAGCGTACAGCGCTGTCTCTTGAACGCCGGGGACAATTCCTCTGAATGCTCGAAAGCCGAGGTGATATCCGAGGAATATTCTCGAGGCGAAGAACAGTACAGCCTAGTGTCCGAGTCGGAGTAGCAAGATCCTTTTAAGGTTTTCTGGTAGCACGAAGCGACCGCTGCTACAACGTGGCCGTCCATGCAACAGGCGAGATGGCAAGAAACAACGGGCTCGTTTTCGAAAGATACATTGACCACGGCTAGATGCTGGTAGTACGGAAGATGATGCGAAGAGGAAAAACCAGCGTCGCAACAGTGAAGAGGCGGAGGCAATCGCTCGTACTCGATTTCAATCCGATCCTGCAATAAGCTCGAAACGTATTTTGACGTCCTCAGATCTACCGGTGAGTCACCGGAAGCGGCATCCTGGATAGGGTTGAGCCGTTGTCTGGAGTATCCACGGAAGACGATAGCGCCTCGCAGTTCTGTCTCCTGCCCGAGCCGCTTCTGCACCTGATGACGGTTTATGCTAGAATTCCTGGCGGTGGCACGTTGTTTTGCCCGGGGTTGGTTTATTATTACATTATGTATATCCTAACGATATTAGTACTCCGAGACAAAACAACAGCGTGACTCGAATTGTCCTCTAGCTCATGTGCCGCCAAATATCAAATAAATGTTTTAATGGAGCCTTCCGGATGCATGAAGGTGTTGCCGGAGGTGTCTAGTCGCCAGCAAAGTTCCGATCCTTAATTCGAGGGTCGGATCCATGTAACAGCGTGTAATGGCGTTGCTCGTGTCACAGATAAAATTCGGCCAACTATGCGATAAGATAGCAAATTCCAAACGCCTTATCCTGAGTGACCATCGGAGTAGTATCCGGTCAATTTACCAGTTCCCAGCCACTCTACCCGTTCTCAGAAATATATGATAAGTACGACCAAAGTTCTTCCCACTCTAACGAATAAAGAATATAAATACTCCTCCCAAAATCATTCAAGTCAGTCTGAATATGTCCGAACCAGTGTGCATATTAAAAAGTCTATTGTTGCGAACCGCAAATAAAGAGTTACCATTTAATTATTGTGTAAAAAATTGAGTGGAAATAAAGAACTCGATTTCCTGTTTGGAGATCGACATTTTTTTAAATCATTTGTTGAACTTTTTACGTTACACTCGCATATGCGACAGGATCCGGCTCACAATGTGGAAGCGTGTGTCTTGCCATCAAACAATTGGTACACGCTGATACTTCTTCGGCGGCTACAAGACGTTCTCCGATGGTTTTCATCCTGAAGGTGTTGCAGCTCCAAATTTTATGTGGTCCACGGCAAATAGGACAGAATGACTAAGATTTCGACGTCATAAATGCATACCCTCATGTTTGACGTGTCGTTCTTGTATGTTCTATGACCTGACAGCGATCGTTTAAAAACTTCAGGAGTTACTTGAACGTAGGGAATGGTGTGGATTATGCTTTGTTCTTCCATATTAACCCGGTTTCGCGATCTGACTTAGATGTGAATAAATACTGCAACAAGGATTCTGCGATCGGTTGTCCGAAAGCTTGCAAAGCCTTGTAGTGGGAGTCTATCTTTGTTATATAGGACTGTAAGTCTTGATGTGATGTCCGTGATAAGGGGGCCCTGTCAATCATCTCCTTCAAATGTCTCTCGACGATTTTAACCGGTTTATTGTATGGTTATTCCAATATGTCCCAAGCGGCCGAGTAATTTACTGTTGTGTTGCTTAAAGGGATATTGTAGTCTGGAGGCATGAATTTCGGGCGATTTTCGAAGCTCTATACAACTGAAACAGGCTCTGTACAAAGGAAACAAAAAATATCTTTGCTATCCTTTTTTTAGCATTTGTTTATTGATATTTTAAGATTACGTAAAAAATTAACCGAAAAAGAACTCAAAATTCACAAAGTTATGAGCTGGCAAAGTGGGTGGTGCCAAAGAAAGGGTGCCCTGGCGTGCATGATTTCAACTCTTCTGGTCATCTGAAACAAAAAGTCCTTAAAAACCTTGAAATATCAAAACAACATTTTTTCACAAAATGGCGGCCGTTTGAAGGAAAGTTTCTTGTTTCGCATGTTTTTTTAACAATTCCGAATGTTTAAAAAATAGTAAAATTAAAAATTTCGATCTTAGCGTGGTTCAGGCGATAGAGAAATGTATAGAGAATATTCACATCAAATTTCAAATAAATCGGTTCATTAGAACTTGAGATATCGTGCACGCCAACTCGAAAAAAGTAGTATCGAAAAAAACGCGTTTAGAGTTTCGAGACAAGTTTCCGGCAATTTTACTCATAGAATGGTACAGCATACTTACATATTTTTAATTGGCGATTCCTGCTCCATACAAGAGACCTTCCTCTACTTCAAAATGTTCATTCTCCGAACTTCTTTTATGGAGACGAGCATTCTAAAATACAATAGCCGTAATTCTTATTAATTAAAACTTCTTCATCTTGCGAATTTTTCAATTTTGCTGCAGATGTACTAGTAAAACTGGTTTCTTCCTTTACGGTAAATTGATTACCGGAAAATCTTCTCTTCTTCGGTCCGTATGCTCGTTTAGAACTGAATTTTGAATGCTTCTTATCCATTTTGCTTTAAAATGTCAATATATATGTCGGATTTACATTAGGGACGTGAAACGAATCTTCATTTGGATTACACATTGTCCTTATGCAATAGAGAAGACATTGACTGGTGCAAATACGATTATTACAGAATTTGACAAGTAACCGTGGTAATTAGGTACTCGAGAAGCCAATGACAATGATTCTAGGTTCAATAACGAAGCCGCGGTTAACGGAATAACAGGACGCTCTTCCTTCCAAAGTCCAAATCGTACTCGACTTGCTTGGCTACGGTGGAAGTATAATTAACTAATTCTTTGTTAAAACGTGGAATATCGATCGAGCGTAAAAACGCTAAGTAACTCGCTAATACGACCTCACGAGAGAGAATGACTTTCCGTCGCGATGATGCTGCAGACGAAAACTATGATAGGGTGTGTCTAAGGAGACGAGATCATCGGATTCGTGGAGAGATGCCTTCGTTCGGAAAATGAGGGAAATGGACGTTCCTGTTAATTGGTTAATTTCTATGTTGGTGGTTGAAAAAGGATGCTAACAGCCCTTGAGAGAGAGTTGCTAGCGGGAAACGTCGTTCGTTGAAAAAATAAAGTTCTCCTATCTTCCCGTATTTGGGACAAAGACTGTTTGTCTGTTTGAAGGACTTTAGATAACTAAATGTTAATATTTATAGCGGCCCTCAGGGTAACTGAACATGCACTGTGGAGATGCGTCAGCATCTGGTAACCATCATACCCGAAGAATAGGGTCTGTGTGTGGCGAGCCACGAGACAGAGACCGTTGGAATATTTACTGTCGCGTACCGCTACAACTATTTCTTTTAAGGAGAACTATAGAATTACTCCGTCCCTATATTAGGTAGAAAAGTTCATGCCGTGACCGCGGCTACGTTCAGCGACTCGTTGTCGCCTCGAGCCCAAGCTCTCTATCACAAATCTCGGACAATTATAGCCGAGTTAAATTATACAAACTAAAATATTGGGGGTTAGGTTGGGGTTAGGTTGGGGTTAGGTTTAAGAACTTTTTTATTTTTATCTTTCATCTAATATGGTCACTATATCTTATAATAATATAAAAATCAAACATTATCTTGTTACTATGTCATCAAGAACGATGGAAAGCAATGGGGAAATAAGTTTTCCTAATCCTTCAGAATCTAATAAAATTATTTTTCTTTCTTTCGATTTCGTTGATGTAACAAAAAGTATACGTAAGAAATAACTGGTTAAATATAACAAATTTAGATTTACTACGGTTTATGTGCGGATTACGTACGATTTCGTGATTTATGTGCGGATCTTGAAAAACATTCAATTGCTAGGAAAGTTTATAAATTAAGCTATAATTATTCTGGCCTAATAATTCTGACCGAGGAAAGAACCTCGTCAACAATATTTTTCATCAATATACAATTGTAGCAATTGGAAGATTTCAATTATTTTTATACAGCTGATTTTCTAGAAATGTTGCGCATTGTGGATATTGCAGGTAGTGTGAAAGCTAACAAAGAAAGAAATAAAGTTTGTAAACCGATTTTGAATTACTTTAGATGTGGATTTCTAATAACCATAGATAACTCGATAATAAGATCACATCGCGTATATGTATATTTATATAAACTTCTTTTTTCGTTCAGTATGATAAATCTGTCCCTGCTATACTTGTTACGTACAACAAAATATCCTGTTGAATTCTAGTATTCTCTCCTCTATCTGATCCTCTATCCTATATTTAGATAGGAAAGCAAGAAATTGCTTTTAAAACATTGTTCTGAAAACACGTAAAAATACCTTTCTTGTATATTATTGACAGTGAACAAAATATGTAAATACATATCGAACACGTATAATACGCCTTTGTATACACTGTTTCCCAGGGCCATATTTTGGTCCTGTCGAGATTAAAGAATTGTTACGTATAGAGTATCTTGTTCGATATAGCTATAAGCATTATAGCGGTTTATGCCATGTATTATGCTTACGTATACGTGTAGCAGTTCCACAATTTTCAGTGGCGATTGCAGTTATAGCCTCCATTTTTGCCAGATATTTCTAGCATTACTTATGCCTCAGAGAAGAACAATCATTAAATTAAATATTTTCTTTTCTACACTGATTCCAGGACAGCACATACATATATCCATAGAATCGAACTATCTTCGTTGGTTGTGGATTTTTCCAGATTTTCAAATTATTCATGGCAACATAAAAATAACCATGTTTAAAAGACTATTTACATTGGATGCTATCACATAAAACTTTTAATTTCTATTGAATAATTCTTCTATTCGTTATATGTATATTTACATATATTCCATATGTTATTATATTTATATATTATATACACAATTTAGTTACTGTTATATACATAATATATATACACATACTATACTATATATTATACACATATTATATATACATATATTCTATACGTTATATATATTAATTGAGGTTTTTATTTACATTGAATTTGACAATCAGTAAATAAACTATAATAAAAGATCATGATCAGCAATTAAGATCGTATTTACAATGTAAAATATTGTGCAATTATTACATAGTTTGAATATATTTTGCATTTACATATTTTATGCACTTTGATATATAATATTTATATAAAAATCAGCAGCGCAATAGTGATAATTTTCAAAATATAAAGTCGTTAATGTATTGTAGTGAAATTGAAATATAACCGGCGCAGAGACATTTGCGCAGCGTGCAGGATTTGCTTATAGTCCAGAAGCGTAGCCAATGAACAAGCAGTACGAATCTGTCTTTATTAGGAACGGTATTGTTCGACAGTCTTTCATAATCAAGACATGGTAGTGTGAACATGCTAGGGAATAGTTACCTGTTTGAACGTTACAATTTTCGTGTTTAGCAAGTTTTTGAGCAATTGCTAAGAAGTTGTTAGTTGTTAGATAAAATATAAAATCTGGTTATTCGAAAGCTGACTTGCAATTTTCTATAAAAAGGATTTATTCAGAGTAAATATTTTATACTTGCAAATTTTAAGAATTACAAACTTCCTGTGAATTATTTTAATCTAATAACATTGTTCTGTCACTAGGATGGGCCATACGGCAGACAGATAGACTATTCTACATGTGGAAGTAAGTCGTAGAAACCAGTACAATTTTCTTATTTATTTTTCTTTTTTCTTATTTTTATTATATCTTTCGTCTCTAATGTACTACTTGCATTTACATATTTATATTCATGTAAGAGTGATGTTATATGTATTTATGTTTTAGTTTCAATTAAATATATTGACTATAGCTTTTTATATAAAAGTTACATCGTTCTTCCCATTTTATATTCTTCCGCTAAATAATGCTTTAATCAAAAATAATGCTTATTCAGAACTAAAAATAAAATCGGTCATCAATAATGGTTACTAATAACAGAACTTAACGTATAATTATTTCTCTAATTGAATATTATGTTCTTATAAAATAATTATGTTTTTGTTAATATTAATTATTCTTCGAATCTCGTATTGTATTTATCTGATAGATAGTAATTTTTTACGAAATTTGTTTAAGAATCCTCCCCTGATCCACTTCGTGATACACAAAGAAGCTTCTGCCAGTAACACAATTCTTCATAAATTCTTTTCCATGCTGTTATGGTACGTTTTTTTCCTACTTCTTTTTTATTATCTACTATTACTGTATTATATGTTATAATGTCCGCATTTTAATCGCAAAATGCGTTGTTTCTTTTTTAGAAAGTGATACAGTATATTTATTCGTTATCTTTCCTATTTATTCATCAAAAATTATGAATGAAAAAGTGCAAACCTCAGTTCTCAGATTCCGTTGCAAGTCATTACAATTAGATATGGAAATGATTTAAATGATATACCGAGTCTGATATCTACGAAATCGACAAAAACTTTCAATTTTTATATGTATTTTATATGTAACTATTTACTATACATAGAAATTTATTATATATAGAAACCTAACCTCAATATTTAAAGAATGGCGAAACGATAAGCGGTAGAATATTTCACGTGAGATTGATGTTATCAGAAAAAGTTTAACAAAAATTGTTTAGTTCGAATGAAGACATCACATACGGTGCAAATTACTTTTTTGTAGATCCAGTAGTAGGGTTCCATTTCAACTTCATTCTTGCAAATAGAGCCATACTTTTTTTTAATACATTCATCGATTTATCTTTGTATTCCTTATGAAAAAATTAAAAAGATCTGTTAGTTCACTAGATATCTTAACTTGAATTCATCGTATGAAAACCAGGTAAGGATGCGAAACGGTTCTCTTGCGTTTATGTTGTCCTTGCCTTTTGTTTGTTTCAGCGTAAACACAATACCGCTTCCTGTCCTATGCTTATCTTTCATTCGACACATTAAACCAAAGATATAATCTAAACTATCGGTTTTTCGACATAAATAGGTTAATACCTTTTTATATGATATGAAACGTTACGATATCGGTCACATCACTATTGTTTACAAAGCACGAGTTTCGACTGATTGGTAGGTTAAAAAAAAAGGACAATAACAAGAAAGAACCGATTCGGAAGGACGAACCTTTCGTTTGCCTCCGAATCTCTCATTAAACAGGTCATATTGTAGGATGTTAATATACTTTCCGCGGTGAACGTATGTAATATTGTTTATGAATATTGTTTTGGTATAGTTATTACTATACTTATTGTTATGTATATTTATATTGTACTATAATGTGGCCTGAAATACGCCTGTTTTAATCCCCCCTTTAACATGTAATAATGTAAATAATTATGTAATTAGATACTTGTAGACATGAACGCACAAAAGATATATCGATGATAACATTATTTCGTTCAACGGAATCATCGAACAACACAAACAATTATTTTCCACATTATTTTCCGAGATAGGAAGGCGCAGTTCCGTTTTTAACGGAAACTACGAGGGTTGACAGACCCATCTCGTTATTTTCCATTTATAATTTGTACAAAATGAAATTGAATAATCACCGCGATGTGTGTATTATCGTCTGCTTATACTTTAATTCGTACAACCCGTGCCCACGTCTGCACGCTACTTGAACGGACAGCACATCAAAATCAGCTTCGTGCTTAATGTATTAAATGCCATTGCATCACCGTAATCGATACGATTCACGTATTTCACGCAATGTAATTTTTTTGAAAGCAAAAACATTTCAGTCACGGCGTCTACCCTCAACTTTTGATCCCTTGGAAGTCACACGTGTATCGCTGCAAAGTAGTTATTATCAATTGCGCCTTACCTTTCAATTGCCTATTATTTATGTGTAATTGAATATGACAACTTGTAGCTCGGGCAAAATATAACTTTTCCCATTATTGAAAAGTGCGCAAAATTGAACCCCAAATATTAATAGTGGCTAAGCGCTCTTTCGCGCATGAAACGGTGTTTTCGTAGTTCTTGATTTCTACGATTTTTTCACCTTGCAGAGCAACTGGCAGCAACTCAGTCATATTCGTTCTCTTTGTTCTCTACTCAGGTGTTACAGTATTATGTGCTGGACGAATAGATTTTGAAATTTTAAACCATTCAGTAATGACTCCATAAGCTACTAATACAGAAGGAACTACTGCAATTTTGTTCCCTTGGAAGTCACACGTGTATCACTGCAATGTTTGTATTTTCAATTGCCCATTATTTATGAGTAATTGAATATGACAACTTGTAGCTCGGGCAATATATAACTTTTCCCATTATTGAAAAGTGTGCAAGATTGCATACCCAAATATTAATATTGGGTAAGCGCTTTTTAGCGCATGAAACGGAGTTTTCGTAGTTCTCGATTTCTACGACTTTTTCACCTTGCACAGCAACTCGCAGCAACTCAGTCCTATTCGTTCTATTTGTTCTCTACTCAGGTGTTGCAGTATTATGTGCTGGACGAATAGATTTTGAAATTTTAAACCATTCAGTAATGACTGCATAAGCTACTAATACAGAAGGAACTACTGCAATTTTGTTCCCTTGGAAGTCACACGTATATCACCGCAATGTTTGTATTTTGCAAAGTTTGTATCTTCAATTGCCTATTATTTATGAGTAATTGAATATGACAACTTGTAGCTCGGGCAAAATATAACTTTTCCCATTATTGAAAAGTGTGCAAAATTGGATCCCCAAATATTAATAGTGGCTAAGCGCTCTTTCGCGCATGAAACGGAGTTTTGTTTGTTCCCGATTTCTATAATTTTTGCAGCTTGCACAGCAACTAACAGCAACTCAGACCTATTCGTTCTATTTGTTCTCTGCTCAGGTATTGCAGTATTATGTGCCGGACGAATAGGTTTTGAAATTTTAAACCATTCAGTAATGACTCCATGGGCTACTAATACAGAAGGAACTACTGCAATTTTGTTCCCTTGGAAGTCACACGTGTACCACTGCAATGTTTGTATTTTCAATTGCGTATTATTTATGTGTAATTGAATATGACAACTTGCAGCTTGGGGAAAATATAACTCTTCTCATTATTGGAATGTGTGCAAGATTGAATCCCCAAATATTAGTATAGGTTAAGCGCTCTTTCGCGCATGAAACTGTGTTTTGTTTGTTCCCGGTTTCTACAATTCTTGCAGCTTGCACAGCAACTGACAGCAACTCAGTTCCATTCGTTCTATTTGTTCTCTACTCAGGTGTTGCAGTATTATGTGCTGGACGAATAGATTTTGAAATTTTAAACCATTCAGTAATGACTCCATGGGCTACTAATACAGAAGGAACTACTGCAATTTTGTTCCCGTGGAAGTCACACGTGTATCACTGCAATGTTTGTATTTTCAATTGTCTATTATTTATGTGTAATTGGATATGACAACTTGTAGCTCGGGCAAAATATAACTTTTCCCATTATTGAAAAGTACGCAAAATTGAACCCCAAATATTAATAGTGGCTAAGCGCTCTTTCGCGCATGAAACGGTGTTTTCGTAGTTCTTGATTTCTACGATTTTTTCACCTTGCAGAGCAACTGGCAGCAACTCAGTCATATTCGTTCTCTTTGTTCTCTACTCAGGTGTTACAGTATTATGTGCTGGACGAATAGATTTTGAAATTTTAAACCATTCAGTAATGACTCCAT